TTGACATTACCCTCCTTCTTTCCCAATGCACAGCAGAGGGAGACATAGATGAATCTACATCTCTGATGATGGACTCCAATATAAATTCAGGATTTTCTTTTCATTGTTGGAATTGAAAGCAATGTTAGAGATTATGATATAGTTAGGTCAATATGGCAGAAGGTGTGAAAAAAGGATTTTTCTCGATTATGCAATAAAAGATATTGCACAATTGATATAATATACATTATATATATTATTTAAGTACATAAAACATATATAGAAAATTAGAAAATTTGATCACTGTGAATATGCAGCGCTACGCAATAGGCATCCTGGTGTTACTATCATTAAATACTGGAAAGACTGGATACTGTATTCTGGATTGTTGCAATCTTGTCAAAAGGAGCTAGATATCTGTTCAGCCACCATTACTCAATGATGGCTACTGCTAAATAGATGCAGAGGCATAGGTAAATGATATTTCATCCTGTCTTCCTAATTCTATTACACTGTTTCTTTAACACAAACATGGAGGGGGGGAGATAGATAATTAGCAGCTAAGATGGAGATCTTAAAAACTTGTTGCCATTTGTTTCAATGTTTGAGTTTGAGAGCTCACTTATGATTTTTTCCTAGTGCATCTCTAAATGTATGCCCTCCTCCAATAAGAGGCATTCACATCTAATAAAAATGTCATAACTGGAGGATATTCCCAGTCGGACTCCTGGCTAATGTGCAGCTAAGAGATGGATTCTAGCCAAAGCCTGAGTGTCAACAGTCTAGAGATGGGAAACTCTTCTGGAGACTTGACTGAGACAGTGGATATTAAACCCCAGAAAAGGGTAGGTAAACAGTGGGCTTTTCCAAAATCCTTCTGTGAGTAACTGCTCTTGTTTGCTGTTGCTGTAGCCACAGATTCAGCCATAATATCTGTGATTGCTGGCTTATTTTGGATCCTGCAGTTTGTGCAAGTAAATTTACTCTTAATCAGTACTTGGCAGAAACTGTACTCATATTGGTCCAATGGGCCATTGGAGAATACAGTATAAATTTCTATGACTGGTAGAATTCTTTGTTAGCCATCTGAGACTATGCATTTCAAGTACGAGATTCCACATATAAGTGCTTCTTTGGAATCTGACATGACATCAAGCACAATTCTAGCAAGAAGCAATTGGCAGCACAGAATCATAATCAGCCATCAGAAGGCAGAGATAAGAATTTATTTTCTCTTTTTTTTTGAGACAGGGTAAATTATGTAGCTTTGCCACCTATCCTGGCACTCTCTGTGGGGACCAGGCTGGCCTCAAACTCACACAGATCTGCCTGCTTCTGCATCCAGAGTGCTGGAATTAAAGGCGTGCACCACTATAGACCTGCAAGATAAAGATATTTTCTAGATAGCCTTGAAATAATCACAAGCAAGTAAATATATGATCATGCCTACTTATAGGAGATGTTTTTCTGTTTTTTATTGTATTTATGACCTAAAATATTATTTTATTTGTACTCACCTGCTTTCTATTTCGTGGCATCTACAGCAGCACACATTGTTTAAGAAGGTAGAAATGAGTCAGGAGCTCCGATGGAGATCTCCAAGCTTTCCTGAGGATTTGCTTTCCATTGGTGGAAATGAGATTACCCTCCCTATTGGTGCAGTCCCCAAGCAAAATTTGAATGCACACAGACCTTCAGAGATAGGCAGGAGAGCTAATATCTTGTCAGAATTGTTGGTTATTACAAGGCAGGCTCTAGCTATATTCCAAAACTCAATTGCTCCTTGGCAATACAAAAAGCCACTGTCTATATTCCCAGACAAAGGCAACTATCTGTTCCATGTGTATGCACAATAGGCAACACATACAAATTAGTAAATTCAAGGATGATTAGATTCCTTATTCTATATCTGTGATTAACTTGATCCGGTTACCTCTACAGTAAGGAGATTCCTCCTTATTGAACTACTCATTTTCTTGAAAACTGAGAAATCTGTTTGTTGCACTTAAAATTCGGCAGTACCTGCATTAAAAATACTTCACTTGAAGATTAGGTATCTGACATAGACTAGGGAAGTTCTGCTGCTTCTTCTACCCTAGGTGTGCCAATGTGGGACTTGTTATTACATTGTAGTTTTATTCATGAATTCTTTTTGTGACTGAAATTAAAAGCAGTAATATCTGCAGAAGTGCATGTGAATGATATAGATAGATCTGAACCACTTGCACAAACAATGGTTGTCTTGAATAGAACAGCATACAGGCAGAATCACCTAGCAGGAAAGGGTACACACAAACCTCCACAACATATTGTCACTCTAACTGTTCTCTGACAGGCTATACATAGCCTTTGTCAGGATTCAAATTAACAGTGTCTGCAAAACTTTGTCATAAATCCCTGCTCTCCACTACCATCTGCAATACAACAGTCTTTGTTATGGTAGGGTCAAGTCATTGGATATAGTCTGTATGGTACACTTGTGACCAGGAATACCAATTCCAGATTCTTCAGCCCTCATATCAATAGTTTTAAAAGAAAAGTGTTCAAGATAGCAGACAGTAGGTGATTCACATTTGAAATTTAAAGGGACTTCTCATCACTTTAATCTGTTCCATCACTCAAATATTTAAACCAATGTAAAGCACATATTAATACTTTCATTGTATAATGGTAAATATAAAACTGAATATAGTATTTAACTTTATTTCATCATGTATATTTTTATATTTTATCCTGAGTTAAAACATTAATATATTTCTGTAACAGGTAGTACTCAAACCACCATGATTTGGTAGATTATAATACAGACAATTCTATAAGTAGAATAAGGGAAAATCACCTCAAATTGAGGAATGAATTTAAGTCTGCACTACAGTTTTTGTGTTAAAAGCAAATATGTTAACGTCTTCATCCATTAATGTGATATCATCTGAAATGTGCTCTCAGTCAATATGTAATCCCAAATGTTAGCTTGTGTTGTGTGATATCCTAACAAATAGTAAAGAATTTGCAATTAAATATATTCTACTTGACATTTTCAATATTTTCAGTTTTATAATCCATTGCCAAATAGGGTTTACACTTATGATTTTTCTCCATTAGATATTTTTATTATTTCAAATTAGGAACAAGCTGCTTTCCTAACTTGTCAATCCCTTCCCCTCTCCTTCCATTCCAGCCCTACCCCACCCCCTGCCTGCCATTACATCTTACTTCTGCTCCTCAGAGACAGAAGGGCCTTCCCTGGGGGCTCTCCAAATTCCACTACATCATCCTGGGCCTGGCCTAGGCCATGCCCCAGGTGTACAGGATAAGAGAGCATCCTGTATTATGAAACCTATTTAAAAAGCAGAGCTTACTTGCATCTCGACATTTGTCTTGTCTAAAATATGAAACCAAAGTATGTGAAACTAAAATTTGTGTTAGCATCTGGTTAAGAATTTTTCACTTTGTGTGTGTCTGGTGTGGTAGAAATCACAGATTACTTGTTTATCCCAAATACATGGTCTATACTGATTGACCTAATTACTTTACAATAATAAAATTAGATTTGTATAGAGGTAGATTAGATTTGTCATGGAAACTGTATGGAGTGTCTGGAATAGGGATGTGAAACAATGTATACATATAGGAATATTTCTGAATTGAAATACTTCTATCTTTCATCACTGTTTTACAAAATGTAAGATGGATCTTGATACAAATGAAGTACTTCTGAGAGTTAGTGTAAATATTAAGTAGTAATTTATGTTTATATACAATAAATCCTGGACGTATAACTTGTTACTTCATACAATGCGTATAGAAGTCATGATATATGTGTTATTCTAATTTTCATATTATTTTCTAGTACAGTTTACTACTAAATTGAATTTACCTGTTTTTGAGATACCTGCAAGCATACATGTAACAAAATTTGTTCTTTCTATCTTGTTAGTCTCCCGGTTAAGTCTTCTGATTGTTAATTTAAAGCCACTTTCAGAAGAGTTGTACAATTTGGCTGCATTCAATTGTATCTGACGAAAATTTGTTCAAATTATTAACAAAATAATTTGTTATAACTTACGGAAACATCCTTACTAAGTATAAATAGTATTATAATATACTATTGTCCATTTTGCTTGAGACTTGTCTATTTCCTGATTATTCCAGATCAGGTACTTATTTTCCCCAGTAAAACTCTGATGTGTTGTCTATGATTATAGTTTTCCACACACAGAGAGGAACACCCAGAGACACACTTCCTTATATTACAGTGTCCTTGAGAGCAAACAGCCTATTCATTTTTGAGAATATATCCTCTCATTATTATTACTGGTGTCATAACTTTTTCTAAGATTTATTTTTAGAGTTTAATACACTAAAACAAATTGTAGTAGGCAAAATATATGAGGTACAAAATGTTAATATCGGATCATATTTTCTCTGTTATTGTACAAGGAGGCACACGTGTTTAAATATATTAAACATTCCTTTTAAAATATTGGCCATAACAATATTAAATTATGTCGATACAATAGGAGTAGGTAGGAGTATAGATTTTACAGACAACAAACCCCAATAATAATTTTAATGAGTTTCATTTATTTATGTATATTCATCTGAAACTATTTCTTATACATAAGAGTTTAGATACACAAAATTAATAATGAAAGAGTATACATAATAATTTAACCACAAGAACTGTACCATCATTTCAGCGCTAAGAGTGGTTACAAAGAATCTATTTCCCATTGTCTGTTGTAGTGGAGAATAGTTGCCACACCAATTTGAGGGCTGACAACTGTGAGGCTGTCCATGCCCACATTGGGGGGCTTACACAAATGATGCTGAAAAATATAGTTGGACATTTTAAGAGTGATGTAGCAAGGCTGTAAATATGAGTGACACATGTTTGGGGCTCTCTCTCACCCACCTTGCAGTACATGACTGGCTCTGTCTTGTGAGCACATTCAAAATGAACAATGTGTTTTTCAAACTAATTTTGACAACATTAAGATCTGCTTTAATTGTATTCCACGTGTGTGTGTGTGTGTGTGTGTGTGTGTGTGTGTGTGTGTGTGTGTGTGTGTGTGAGTGTTTCTAATATAAAACACACCAAGTGGTTTCAGGATGCCAAACACCTGAATAGAAATTTGCATATTGCTGTTAGTCACTGACTCTTGTGGTCAGCACAGTTTTTTTTTTCTTTTTTGATGTTTTTTTATTTAAATTCTGTAATTACTACTTATATGTAAATGTCCATCCCCCAATACCTGGCCCTCCCTTCCTCCCATGTTCCACACCAGGCTCCACAAACCATTCCCCAATACTCCCTAGGGAAAGGGAGGCAATTACCAGGGACCTTCAGACTCTGTCATGTTATTTGCTGAAGGGCATAGGCCTTCCTTGCTTTAACTGGTGTGTAGTAGTACCTCTCTACAAGGAATGGACTCCCAGAGTCCCTTTGTGCTCTAGGGTTGAAGACTGCCTCCACTGCTGGAGTTCCCATAGACGGTCTTGGCCTCCTAGCTGACACCCATATTTAGAGGGATTGATTCCTACAGTGAAATTTTGCAGCACCATCTGGGCTCCTTTGCTCATTGCTCCTCCCTCTTCAAAACTGGATTCCAGGAGTATGGTTCAGTGCTTACGTGTGGGTGCATGTATCTGCTTTGAAAAGCTACTGGATGGAGCTCTAGGATTTGTATCCAAGGTAGAAGTCTATCTCATTATAGGGGAAGGTCATCAATGGCATCTGCTCTACCACTGCTTGCATTCTAAGTAGAGTCATCCCTGTGAATCCCCTAAAATTTTCCTTATTCCAGACCTTTCTCCATAGCTGTACTGTCTTCCTATATCAAAACATCTCCTTGATTGCCCTCCTCTACTACTCCATTGTCTCAGAGCTCTTTTTGCCTCTGCCCTCCCCTTATTCCCTTCCCACCTCCAAAGTACACATTGGTGATCATGTGAACTTGAGAATAGGGATTCTGAGCCATCTCTGCATACAAAACAGAGAAAATCACTTGTCACTCCACAAACAGAATGGTGTATGCAGAAGTTTCTCTCTAGCACAAACCAAGACCATTCACTCACAAGAAAACACACAGAAGCTTATGTTAAGTATAAACATTTTGGCGTAAGTCTCATGCCTCTTTGTGCCAAGCGGTCTCATAGATGATAACCCATTTTATTAATGTGTGTAGTTCCATGTGGTCTTTGCTTACAATTGAATACCTGAGCCTCCTGACTACCTAGTAGTAGCATGGTGTTTGTATTGAGGTTCACTCTCTGTGTTTCTCTTCCAAATTTCTCCTAGTCTGCTGGACCAAATAGCATTTTCTGCCTGTCCACATACTGCCTGTTCATTGCTTTAAACAGCGTTGCACATTAACCAATAAAAGAAACACTTATTCACTGCATATTGAAGGACATCCCCATTACCCTCTATTATCTGTCTAATTAAAATTGAAAGTTTTTTATTTTCTTTTTTCTCCATGTTTTTATTTAAATGAGATACATAATTGTTTAACATGTCAACACCAGATCCCTCTCCATCACCTCCTGCCTGCCCCTCACAAAAAACAACCTAAAATAGGGGTCTCCAGGGTCTCTCATACACTCAGGGATAGGGCATAAGCCCACCCTCTTGTGTCTAGGCTAAGGGAGTATCCCTCTATGTGAAAAGGGCTCTGAAAGTCCATTCCTGTGCTAGGGAAAAATACTGAACTTCTACAAGTGGCCCTATAGATTTCCCAAGGCCCCTACCCTGATACCCACATTCATGGCGCCTGTATGAGTTCCATGCTGCTTTCTCAGTGATGAATCTGGGGGCCAAGAGATCTCCATGGTTCAGGACAGCTGTTTCTGTGGGTTTCACCAGTCTGGTTTTCACCCCATTGCTCATCACACTTCCCTTTCTGCAACTATATTCCAGAAGTTCAGTTGAGTGTTTAGCTGTTATTGTCTGCTTCTGCTTCCATCAGCTACTGGATGAAGGCTCTGGGATGGAATATGAATTAGTCATCAATCTCATTATCAGGGAAGGGCATTTAACATAGCCTCTCTACTTTTGCATAGATTGTTAGTTGGTTTCATCCTTGTAGATCTCTGAACATTTCCTCTGCACCAGCTTTCTCTTTAAACCTGCAATGACTCCCTCTATGATGGTATCTCTTATCTCTTATCTTGCTCTCAACTCTTGTTCTGCCAAATCAACCTTCATTCTTCCTCAGTAGTTAGAATTTAATAACAACACAAATTGTTGAATCTCTACAAACTCATGGAAATTGAACAACATGTAATTGTACCATTCTTGGGTCAAGGAAGTAATACAGAAGGAAATTAAAGATTTCCTAGAATTCAATGAAAATGAAGACACACCATTTCCCAGAAAATTTCATAGCAATAATTGTCCACATGAGTTAATTGGGGAATAGTCACAACATAAAATTAAAAGCACAACTGTAAGCTCTACAACAAAAAGAAGCAAACACATCCTGGAGCAGTGGACTCCAGTAAATTATCAAATTGAGTGTGGAAATTAATAAAGTAGCAAAAAAGAAGACAATACAGACACTCAATGTAACCTTTTGATTCTTCATTACCTGTCTTTTTTTATAGAAACTGCCTTCACAAGAGATATCCTTTTCCTTTGGATATTAAAATGCATATGATCATAGTAGGCAATGTTTTCTGAGTCTAAAAATATTTACGCATTGTATGGATTGATCTGGTCCCCTTTGAAGAAAGATTTCCATTTCTTGGCCTTTCAACATTTGTGGAATAGTGTAATAATGCTTCTATACTGCACAATATGCAAAGGATGATAATTTTGGTAAACAATTCATGACAGATATAAGGGATGTATTAATAATATACTCCCTTAAAAGACACACTCTAAAAAAAAAAAGTTTTGCTTTACACAATTCCCACATAGCCACCCGGGAATTTGTGAAGTTCAAGTGTCAGATTCCACAAATAAGTTCATTTGTTAATTTGACACTGTATATCAGAGAAAGTATCAGCAAGCTGCCAATGTCAGCACAGAATCATATTAAACAATTAGAAGGCAGGAAGGCTTCCATGTAGATATCTGGGATGTATGCAAAATAATCCAATGAAAGATCCCTAATTGCCAGGGATTTTTTTTATCTTTTAATTACTTTATTCAGTAGCAAGGATAAATTACAATTTCCTTTTATTCCTTTCATGTCATTGTTTCTCAGTCAGCACATATTTAGTTGAGAGTGAGAATTTTGTCAGCAGCTATGAATGAGATCTCCAAGATTACCTAAAGTTTTGCTTTCCATTGGAGGACTGAGATCACTATCCTAATTTATTCAGATTAAGAGTAGAGTTTGAATGCACACAGAACTTCAGAGAGAGTTTACAAGTTGTCAGAATTGCAGTTTCTTACCAGACATATTCTGCCTACCATTCAGTTCTCATTAACTCCTAAGTATGAGAAAAACCCAACTGTGCATTACTCCAGACACTGGAAACTGTTGTGTGATTCCTTGAATTACAGCTTGAGGCACCTGATGCTGTTCCTGTGCAGCAAGGAGATTCCTATTTCTTGAACTATTGATTGCCTGTAAGCATGTGACATCCCTGTCTCAGACTGGTGCTGCAGTATTTGGTAGAAAAAAATTTTCTTGAGATAGAATTATATAACTAAAATCTATAAGAGCCTTGCTCTTTCCTCCCCCTTGGGGGTCCCATTGTAGGAATGACCATGAGATCATAGTTATGTTCATGATACATCTGATTGTGTGAAATTATAGGCAGTGACACTTATAGACACTATCCTGTCACCTAAAGTTTCAATTGGTAATACAATGTAGCACAGGAAATTCTCTTATTATCACCTTGTTCATATTAAGTTCTCATATGTTCAACTTTGCATTCTGCATTTGTATTGTCACTGGATTTTGGCATATAAAATATGTTTCATGATTTGATCTTACATGTCAGAAAATTACAATGTTTAGGATCATGTAGGGCATGTGTTTTGTCAGAAATCAGTGGTTTATTGATGATGGCTGAGAGACATTAAACACCATACTTCTTTGTTCTTACTTCGGGAGTTTATGTATGCTTCAAACTGTGAAACATGAGGTTTTCCTCCTATCTCAGACTCTGAGTAATTATGTCTGAAAGGAAAGTTGAGGCTGGAAATGATTGGTTCTTTGGAATCATTAATCACCTCTTAAAGTGATGTAATCCTTTGGTCATTTTTCTCAATACAAGTATGTCATATTCCATATATTTATGATGAAGACATGAAACATCAGAATATAATACACCATGGACATGCAGGTTTTCTAGAAAAACCTTAGTACACATTTCTGTTTTATTTTTCCACTTGTTCCTGAAATACAAACATTTGTGTGGATCAATGTGTCACTAGTATTCATTTTATTTTTGTATACCTCTGACAGAATGAAATAATTTCCTTTGTATATCAGTCATCCTTTTGGTGTCTGGTTCCTGGCTATTAAAGCAGCATGTGGATTTCCTTCCAAATCATGATCTTGAAAGAAAACATCATAATTATGGATTTTCTCAGTTTTTGACACAGAGACAAAGTTATATTTAAAAATCACTTAATATATTTATTTTTAGGGCATGTAGCTCATGGGAGTGAGAGATTATTTTCTGGCAAAATTTTAAGACACTAACATACAGATTAACCTTGATTTACATCACCTGTATTCCATCTCAGGGCAGCTTACAAATAGCACAAAAGAAGTTTTTATGATATATATATATATATATATATATATGCATATATATATATGAATATCAAAGGTATGTTCTTATACACATAATTCAAGTTCCACATCTACATGAGAATATGTATGTATACCAAAATTGTCCATGTATGGATGCCTTTAGGTAAGAACTAAACCAAATAGACCAATTCTGGCACATGATTGAAAAAAACTATTTTCCTTCACAAATTAAATGGCTAAATTTATTCCATAACTCTCCATATAAATTAAATGCAATACAAGTGGGAACAAATCTAAGAAATCCAAAAAATAATTAGAGTGGCTTTTCATCTAATAAAGTAATAATGAGGAGTATATTTGGACTTTTTTCAGAATTGCTTGCAGTGTGGAACCTTCATGTTCCAGTAAATGGATGCATTTTAATGTACATACATCTATATTAAAAATTTCAGTACTTATCAAAGACAACAAAAACAAAAATAAGCAACACATGTAAAAGTTAAAATTAAAGTTAGAGAGAAATTTTATTAATGGCAAATGTTTGGATTCTTCAAAGGACATGGTCATCAATTAATAGTAATGAACATATTTGAAAATGACAAAAAACATTTTGAAAATGTGCATATGTAACTGATCAATATCCTATTAAAGTTTACAATACAGAAATTTATTCTTGTGTGTTAATGATATTTAAAATCTTCTTTCTAAAATAGGCAAACATTAATTTATTTCTTTTTTGTGAAGGCAATGTAAGAGACTTGTTCCAATTAAATCAATGGGGCTGATGGATTGAAAAACAATTTTGCTTCAAATAAAGCAGATTTTATTTATTCTCATATGTAATTATGTACACATATGGGACATATAGCAATACAATTTAATGGCATAAAATATATTTATAAATTATGATCATGCAAGATTGTGTATGATATAATTTATATAAAATATATTACACATATAATTCAGTACAAAATGCATCACAAAGAGGCTGCATGCAGACACACCAGGCAAACCAGTGTCTCAATCATGAAAAACCTGACAGGAACGTAGACTATATGGCATATAGTTTCACTATCGGCAAAAGCAGGGAGGAATTTGCTCAGGGACCATTAGGCAGTGCTGTCTACTATGAGACAGCGTCAGAAGCTTGGCTAAATTATATTTCATCCTGTCTTCCCCCTTCAATTCCCCTGATTCTTTCGCACAAAATGGGGGAGGGAGAGACAGATGAATCAGAAGCTCTGATGCATAGCGCCAATAACTGCAGTCATTTGTTTCCATGTCTGGGTTTGTGTTCTCTCTCCTGATTCGTCCCTAATGTATGTCTACCTGCGTGTACTCCTCCAATAGGATGAATTCTCATCTTATAAAAATGACACAAGTGGAGGATTTTTCCAGCCAGGCTCCTGGCTAAAATCCAGCTTTGGCTGGATTTAGGCCAAGCTTGGTTGAAAACAACCCCAGAGAATGTAGTCTGTCCCAGAGATCTCCAGGAGACAGGGGAAATTAAAACCTAGGATAGGGTAGGTGATTGGTGATATTTCCCCCCATGAGTAACTGGTGCTTTTTGCTGGGAAGAAAATGTACCCCTGTCGCTGAAGCCACGGCTACAGTTTTAATATCTGTGATTACTGGCTCAGTCGTGGAACATGCATTATGTGCAAGGAAGCTTTACTTTAGCTCAATAATTGGCGAACACATGCTTTTGCTGATTAAACATGCCCATGGAGGACACAATGTAAATGGCTACATTAGTGAGAATAATTACATAGCCATCTGAGACTCTGTGAATTTGAAATGTGAGATTCCACATATAAGAGCATCTGTGGAATCTAACATGGCAACAAAAATCACTTCAAGCAGCTGCAGTTGGCAGCACAGAATGATAATCAGCCATCAGAAGACTAAGATGGAGGATTTCATTTAGATTTCCTTGATATAGGCCCACACTCAATATAAATATTCATCCCTACTTACCCCAGAATGCCTTTCTCTTTTGTTTGTTATTGCATACATGAACAAGGATGAGTTTCATATTTTCTGTAATCCAATTTCTTTTCGTGGTTTCTCCGGCAACACATGCTTAGATAGGAAGGAGAAATGAGTCAGCACCTCTGAAGGGGATCTCCAAGCTTTTCTGAGGACTTGCTTTCCATTGGTTGAAATGAGATCACTCTTCCTATTGGTTCTCGATACCCAGCAAAATTTGAATGCACACAGACCTTCACTGAGTGGCATGGCGAGAATATATGTCAGAATTGCAGATACATTACAGTCAGTCTCTGGCTTGTGTTCTGAAATTAAATTGCTCTTAGGTATAAAAATCCCACTCTCTGTTTTCCCCAACAAAGGCAACAAACAGTTCCTGATATATATGCAGGAGACACTACCCATAAAATTAGGACATTTAGGGATTGTTTTATTCCTTGTAGTACAGATTTTATTAACCTAATTATGTCACCTGGAGAAGAAGTAGTTTCCTGCTTATGGAATTTATTTTTCTTAATAATTGTGAAAACTGTTTGAGGGACTTGAAATGCTGCAGTACATACAGTAAAAATACTTCACTTAAAGATGCATGATCTGACATAGACTAGGAGAGCCCTGCTCTTTCCTCTAACATGGGATATCTATGTAGGAATGATAATTACATTGTAGTTTTATTCCTGAAATCTTTGAGTGATTAAAAGTACAAGAAGTAACATCTGTAAAGGTACATGTGAAGGATATAAACATATCTGTACACCTTGCATGAACAAAGATTTTGTTTGAAGTGAACTGTACACAACCCGATCTGTCTAGCACAGAAGCATACACACAAATCTCCCACAGTCACAGTCAAGCTCACTGTTCTCTTATAGGTAAGAGTAAGCCTCTGTACAGGATTCATCTTGACAATATCTACAAAAACTTGACTTAACTCTCTTCATTCCATTATTCTCTACAAAAGAGCAATTTTGTCCTGAGATTGTCAATTCATGGGATATATTCCTCAAAATAAATGTATAGCCAGATTGCACAAAACTGATCCTTGATCCCACAGATGTTTAGAACTGAAGGGAAAATGATCAAGATAGCAGACACTAGGTGATTAAAACTTATTATTGGAAATTTAAAGGGTCTTCTCATCCCTTTAATCTGCTATATCCCTAAAATACTGAAACCAGTGTAAAACATATATTAATATTTTGTTCCATAATTCTGAATGTAAAACTGATTATAGATTTTGCTTTTATTTCCTCATATTTATGTGTTTTATACTGATGTAAATTGTAAGCCCATTTCTAGAAAATATACTTCTTACACCACCATGACAAGGAAGAATATAATACAGATAATTGCATAGGCAGAATAAGGAAAATTCACCTCAATGTGAGAAATTAAAATTGGTGAGCTGTACAGTTTCTTGGTTAAAAACAAACATGTTAAAATTATGGCACATTAATGGGATATCTTCTGAAAAGAGGACAGAGTCACCACATAAAATCTAGGATGGCTTGTAATGTGTGGTATCCTAAGAAGAATAAAGCATTTATTATAAAATATATTTGACATTGACATTTTCAATTTTTCACTTTTAGAATTTATAACCCAGTGTTATTTACACTAATGATTGCTCTCCATCAGAAACATGTAAAATATTTCCAGCAATATGATAGCTAATTAAGAAAGACTTAGCTTACTTGCAACCAGATGATTGCCTTGTCTATATCATGCAGTCAAAATATTGTGATGTGAACATTGAGAACAGGGTTGCTCAAACATTCCTGTATATAAAACAGAAAAAGCAGTTATTGTTTAACAAAAAGAAATGTTTATGCAGAAATTTCTGTTTGCCCAATAGTGAGATAACTCAGTCTCAAATAAAAACACAGAGGCTTATGTTTATTATAAATTGTTGGGTTTTACAATTTTTCCAGCAGCTGGGAATCTGTGGGAGTGTAAGGCCTCCAATAATGATCGTCAAAGACTGTCATATCATTTTGAGCAGTGCCTAGACTATACCCAATTTGTGTAGGCTGACAGATTATCCCTCTATGTGTAATGGACTCCCAAAATCCACTAGTGAACTAAGGATAAACACTACCCACTACCATAGTCCCCATTGATTGCCCACACTCAAAACTGGCATCCACATTCAATGTCCTTATTGCAACAGTCTTTATTACAATGGCTCTTTGATTTAATGAGGTAAACATGGAGGATAATTGGGACTATTTTTTAGTCATGTTTGTCATATGGGAATAATCATATTCCAATAGACATTTCTATATTCCTGGACATAAAAGTGACTTAAATGAACTCAGTTCTTATTAAACACAGAATAGGTATATAAGTTTCACAATTAAAAGCCATATAGGAAATTGGAGTGCATTTAATTATGGGTAATACTATGGAATCTTAATTATAAAATATTATATAATAACAGTAATATATTTTTTGAAAATAAATGATATCTTAGAAAGAAAAGCATGAAGGACATTTGCAAACACAATCAAGAAATCACATATAAGGCTTTACTACAGAGAGATAATTTGTTGAGGATTTAAATATATTTAACATGATGGTTTTCTAAAATAACGTATGCTTAATTTATTTATTTTGTAGACTATGTGAGATAGTATATTCCATTTGGGCCTATTTGGAAGAGCACTTGGAAAAACTTTTCCTAATTTAATCCAAGAAATTTTTAGAGGGTTCAGTAATAGGTAGAATTATAACATGCATAATAATTCAACTGTGTAATGTATAATTATATATTTAAATCATAAAATCATATATAATTATAAAATTTATGTATAATATGATAAAACATATAGAAACAAATTAAAATTATATTTCAACAACATTAAAAATAGGACATAGCATTAAACACAAAAAGATAACAAAGTGTCAGCTTCCTGATACAGAGTCACAATCAGAATAATACAGGAGAAATAAAATGTTTCTTCTTGTAAACTAGAATCTTGGAAAGAATGCTGAAACATGCACAGCTCACAAATTACCCTTACCAACTGTTTTCTACTGTCAATCAAGATATATCAGAAGGTATTTTATTAATTCCCATGTTGCACTTCCATTTTCTTGCTTCTTTAAAAACACACAGGGAGGATAGGGAGTCCTGTGAGTCAGTAGCACAGATGGAGCTCTCCATTCAACTACAGTCATTTGGTTTCCATTCCTGGGTATGAGACCTCTCACATCATTGGTTCCTAATGCATGACTAAGAAAAACAGATATATCAGGAACAATACCTCACAGCCTCCTGGGAAGCTGTGAGTTCAAGTGTTACATTCCACAAGTAAATGCATTTGCAGTGTCAAGCATAAAATATTAGAGAATCAATTTGCAAGCAGAAAATGGCATCCCAGCATCAAATTCCGCCCTAGAAGAAAGAAAGTGAAGTTTTCAGGTAGATAGCAAGGATATAGGCTAATGTACCTGGATAAAGATCACTCCCTAGTTACCTTGCACATTTTTTGATTTGTATACAGGACATTATATAATTTACATTTTTTCCCTTCATTTAGGTAAAATTTTCTTCTTTCTGCAGCATCACATGTGTAGTTGTGTGGGGAAAATGAATCAGTAGCTCTGAATGAGTTCTCAAAGATTACCCCAGGATTTTCTTTCTATTGGTGGAATTGATATTACTCTATGTATTGGTTCTTTTTCCATTGGTGGTATGGTGCTTTTTCCAATCAAAGGGTGAATACATAACACAATTTAAATCAAATGGAAGTGGAGATAATGCAATCATCAGTAGAAAATGATCTTACTAACAAGACTCTGGCTTATTCCAAAATTCAAATTCTCTGTCATATAACATAAACACAATTTCACAATGACCAAGACAGATCTGACAGTTCCAGATATACAGGAGACAGAACCCACAGAAAAGAGCACAGTAAGAGATTTTTTGATTCCCATTATTACAGATCTGTCTCACCACATCCTGAAATCCATGTATCAATTGCCTTTTTCTGGAAGCGCTGCTTCTCTTTAAAGATGTGACATCATTTACTTTTGTATCACATGTGAAAAATCTATTCATTTTCATCATTTTATTTAAATTGGAAACAGGTTGTTTTACATGTTAAACCCAGTCCCTCACCTTCTCCACCTCCCCTGATGCCATTAACACCACGCCTACCCCACACCCTTTCTGGTACCCAGGGAGTATAACACCTTGCATGGGAGATCTTCACAATCTGTCCTATCCTTTGGGATAGGGCCTAGGCCCTCCCTTGTGTGTCTAGACTGAGAGAGTGTCCCTCTATGCTGAAAGGGATACCAAATCCTTTCCTATGCTAGGGAGAAGTGCTGATCTACTAAAATTGGCTCCATAGATTGCTGAAGCCTCCAGACTGCCACCCATGTTTGTAGGGTCCAAATCTGTCCTCTGTAGCTTTCCCCACTATCATTATGGTTACCATGATCTCCCTCTTTTTCAGGTCAGCTTTTTCTTTGGGTTTCACCAGTCTGGTCTTAACACCTTTGTCCATCACTCATCCCTCTCTGCAATTGGGTTCCAGAGTTCATTTCAGTTTTTAGCTGCGGGTGTCTGCTTCTTTCATCAGATGCTGTGTAACGTGTAACTGCCCTTTTCTGAGAGTTGAAGTGATTCAGTAAGTTCAAGGAGAACCATTCAATGGAGGTATTAGTATCTAAAATTAGAGGTTCCTGTATTGTGTTGAAGGCTTATGGCATTGTAGTATTTGTCCTTACACTTCTGACTGACTGAAAATTTCATGTATGAACAACAGCAGAGAGTACTATCCCAGGCTCACAGGTCTCTTGAGTGATAATAAAGATTAGCAAAGGATATTGGCTTGTTATCTGTGTGTTTCACAAGTTCTACTTTGATTTCCTGGTTTGTTTGCCAGTGCATTTTGTTTCATAGAAACACTTTTTTCATGATTTTTTTCATACTTGCCAACCCATTCCCAATGATGATATCAGGAAGTGCATGAGCTATGTTGGTTATCAATTGGTAATTAATAATGACAGAGAGATATGATACAAATCCTTTGAAAATAAAAAAACACATCCAATTTCTATGTACTTTAGTATTTTGTTTTGTGTACTTTGCATTGGGACTGGTCTTAATTTGTGTTTCATACCCTAGACTCTGAGATTCTAG